TATTCATGTAGTCTTGTAGGCACTGTGCGTTTCTCGCCGCGCCGACCGCTGTTGACCGTACTGTGTTTGACGCAATGCGTGAAGTATTCATGCAGTCTCGTAGGCGCTAATATGTGTTACATGCCGACCGCCGCGTCGAGGGCTTCTCCTTTTCATCTCAAGTCTAAGTGTTGACAGAGCTTACGCAAAAAATGTGTGCAACACGAGTGAACGCGTCTTATGCACCCTTCTCCCTCCGGCACGTTCACTTGATGGTTTTTATTGATGTTTCAAAATGAATGAGAAGAGGGCGGCAAAATACAGGCAGCCCATGGGCGGCAAGTAGGTAAATCCGGCCATGCAGCTATTTCACCTAAGAGTTAGGGCTCTGCGCTAATTTTTTTATTTCGTGAAGTGCAAACAACGTGCAACACTGCTGTGCTAAGGGAAAACGTCGTGTGAGCATTCGAATGTTGCCAAACTTCCTCTCGGAAAATATTTTTTTTCGAAGAAAGATATGACTATTTTTCTTTGAAATTTTCTGATTTTTTAGATTGAAGTGCGAACAAGATTCTCTGAAAAATCGGGGGGGAAAATACTTGAAAATTTTCCCGAAAATTGTGTGTTTGCCACAGGAAATTTGGCAACGGCTGAAGGTTCATACGGCGTTTTTCCTTAGCTTGGCAGAACAGAGGAGCCGAGACCCCGAGATTGAAGTTGTACTATTTTTTCCATACTAAAAAATCAAAAGCTGTTTGCTCTACACTGCGTAACGAGGGGACGGGGGGTTGTCAAAAATTCCGATAGAGTGCGTTTTTTTTTGCGGTTTTTTTTTTTTTTTTTTTTTTTTTTTTTTTGCGAACGCTCCCTTACGGACATGAGAACAAGACGAGAATTTCTTTTCCTTCTTTCGTCGGGGCGGTCGCAGTTCTTCCGGTGGCGGTGAATTAGTCGGGTGCCCGGCCGGACAATGTCCGTTCTAATTGGTCGGGTCTCCGGGTCGGCGTGAGCCACGGCGGCCATGCACCGGCACGCGATCGAGGGCTCATCTCGGAACATCGGAAGACGAAGACGCGGTTCTCGTCGGAGACGACCAACGATTTTTTAATTTCATTCAAGACGAGCGCGAGCTTCTCACGGGTGACCCATGCTCCCGACTCCAAAGTTGCCAGGTTGTGCCTTTAAATGAATATATACACGGGTTTAAATGGGGAACAGCACTGATTTTTCAGCACGATCTGGCAACAATGCCTGTTCCAGGCTCCCGGCTTCTGCTCAATCTCAATTTGTTGTAATCGTCTCAAGTGAGTGGTGACCGCTGACCGGGACCGGCCACCGGGTCGATTGTTGAATCTTTATCGAATGAACTCGATCGATAAAACCCTATCTTGGCAATGCTATTTATCGATCAAGGTCATTCGATAGAGATTCAACGACCCAGCGGGCTGATTATTGAAATCGATAGACAAAGCTGTAGACAAAGAAGACGTAGGGGGTATGGAACGATCCTATCGGTTGAAATGTGTAGTTCTCATAGACTAAGGGAGAAAATTATGGACCAACTATCGGGTTCCTCGTGGATTGCCGTTAATTACTCTATTACCTGCCTCCTGTGTCCATTGCAACCACCAGCTTCCTCCAATAGGTTCCCTCCAGATCCTATTTGTCATCTTCGTCTATAGCTTTGTCTATCAATTTCTGATTGTTTCACTTACCAACTCGATTCCAGCGTTGTCTATTGCAGGGCCGAATTTACTTACTTACCGCCCATGGGCCGCCTGTATTTTGCCGCCCCCTCCTCATTCGTTTTGAAACGTCAAAAAAAAATCATCAAGTGAACGTGCCGGAGGGAAAGAGGCGTATAAGACGCGTTTACTCGTGTTGGTCACATTTTTTGCGAAAGCCCTGTCAACACTAATAGCAAAAGTTCGCGGAACTTGGCGCGAAAGTTAAGTTTCGTAAACCTATCTCTGTATGGACAAGGCCCTCAATTTATAAAAAATTAACCCAAAAATTATGAAAGAACAAACATAAATGTAGTTTAGTAATTTTAACTTCCGCCGCCGCGCCGTGCTGACCGCACTGTGTTTGGCGCAATATGCGTGAAGTATTCCTAGAGTCTTACATGCGCTATGCGCTTCGGGCCGACCGCTGCTGCACGCACTGTATTTGACGCAATGCGTGAAGTATTCATGCAGTCTTGTAGGCGCTATGCGTTTCACGCTGCCCGCTGATGACCGCAGCGACCGCACTGTGTTTGACGCAATGCGTGAAGTATTCATGCAGTCTTGTAGGCGCTAATATGTGTTGCATGCCGACCGCCGCGCCGAGGGTTTCTCCTTTTCATCTCACGTTCTCGTCATCATTGCTCTCTGCGCCGCGCCGCATTCCAGGCCAAATTCCGTGTTCGGTTTCCCTCTTAGTCCTAACTCGACTAATGAAAGGTGCTGTCTATTGCATCACAGAAGGACGACAAAATTAGAGATATACTCTCGGGAAATGAGAGATTTTGTCACCTTTTCTCGTTCGTATTTTTTTTTTTTCTGAATCCGATTTTTCTTTATAGCTACATTTAAAAAAATTGCAAAATTTTCCGCCCCCTTAATTTGCCGCCATGGGCCGCGGCCCATATGGCCACCCCCTTAATCCGGCCCTGGTCTATTGTGCCGATGAAGTAAACCATCGCTGATTTTTATTTCACTGAGTATATTTCAAGAATATTTGGACTGCATCTTGCTACTTGGAACGACATTATCTCGCTCAGTTCAGAAACGGCGTATGCACCATTAGTTTCCTAGGCACATTTGTGTTTTTAAAGATAAGCCAGGAGTCGTAGTTCCGAATTGCAAAATGTAGTCCATCGCCTAGAGAATATGCGTAGAAGAAATGGACTTCATTTGGCAATTTGAAACTAGAATTTCTGCCTCATTCGTAAAAAAATATGTGTATACTGGGATGGTACTTACGATGTTTCAAAATTAAGCAGGTCATTGTAGTCCCAAATTGCAAAATGTAGTCCAAATATGCACTGAAAAAAACTCCGGCCGTGGAAGCCGTATACTGGCTATGTAGACATCCGCATCCGCGTTTCGAGCTCAGAGGCCGAAAGTTTCGGACGCAGCACCCGGAGCGGTCAGAGCTACGGCTCTAGCACCCGGAACTTTCGGTCCCTAAACCCGGAACGGATGGTATGATGTCTATATAGTCTTAACTTTTTTTCACTGTTATTTTAAAAGGATTTTCATCTTTAGAGTAATCTCAAAAAATTCTGCTCATTGCAGAAAGTCCCATGGTCAGTGCATTTTCTTTTTGTGCTACACCGAAAATAAACAGAGCAAGATCAGTTGATTGGGAACGAAGAATGCTATACAAAGCAAACATGGTATTCCTGCGATGACGTCAGAATCGAATCATTCAACTTTTCTTTCACGCAACGGACAGCAACCGAGGCCGGTGAGCAGGCCCACGAAAATTATATCACAAAAAAGTTCACACGCAATCGATTTTCCACTCTCTCTTCTCGCCGCAAGCGGATTTTCCCGCAGACCCTCACAGTTACATGTCCGAGCGGGGAGGGGGCGGCACATAACGAACATGTCAGCCGTAATGCACGATCGCGCGATTCGATTTGTTGTTGAAATAAGTTTTGCGAGTCATGGAAAGGCAGTTGGCAAGAGCCCAAAACGACACCGGCTCAACGGTGAGCGTCGCGCGCCGGGTGGCTGGCTGGACCGCGCAGGAAAATTACCCGCATCCCAACACTGTGACGTCACACCTCGAATATTTCCATCGCAAAAACGATGAGTGCATCGGGTATCGCGGGGTCCCGAAAAGCAAAGTCTCCGCTTACCGTGGAAGATCAAATAAATCCCGATGACCTTGACCCCTCCAGTAGCGGCGAAGCGTGAGTGATCGATAATCGATATTCCCCCATTTGAAGTCGTGGTAAAGAATCGATTATTAAGGTGTTCTCTGCGAACACCCTCTCTATCGATCCTTTTCCATAGGTTCAAATGTCAGATCAATCGATTTATCGTAAAGCACGGCAAGCCGTTGCATTCAACCTCACTCCGCACTTACATATCACGATATCAGCCATTTCGGAGGACTGCATCGGAAAAAAATCCCAGACATTTATTAGTTCGTAGGTGCTTTTCAGCGCTGAGCCCGAAAATGACCTTGCTTTTCAATCGCGCCCACCAATTATCCGGAAAATCGAAAAAAATAAATAAATAAATACAAAAGGTTTATTACACGTCAAAAACTGGATTTTATTGGGTTCTTTTCAATTATTTTTTTTCTGAATTCGATTTCCGGAAAATTGCTAGCTAACGAGAAGAAGCTAAGGCCATTTTTGGCTTCAACAATAATAAGTAAGTGAAGTAAGTAGTAAGTACTTGGCCTCATCAAGCATTTGCGGGTCTTTTCAGACGCAAGGCAAATGGTTCAATTTTGCATGGTGGTCCATGGGCGATTCTTACAATTTCGAGACATCACCCCATAGAGGGAAATACTTTTCTTTCGTCAACTCGAACTATCCTCGGAAAAGCTAATTTATTCTCGGGAAAACCTCGATTCTCTAGGAAAAGGGTGTGTGTAGGAGGAAAATTACTTACTACCAAGCGCTTCAATAGAGAGAAATGACAAATCGTTCATACCGTTCTTAAAATACGGTTAACGCTCTAGGGAGAGGGGGATCTAAGCCTGCGTTATGGGGTGCATGGTGCATTTCAGCAGAGAAGAGAGGGGTGCTCTAGGCTGCCTGCGTAACGTTCCGCTGACGTGATGGAGCGATTTTTCGTCCAGAATTCAGCAAATGCGCTAGGGTGGACTTCGGACGTAAGCATCACTTAATTATTCAAAATGTTTACAATCTTTACAAAGTTCAAAGTCTACAATGTTTTTTTTTTTTTTGGGGGGGGGGGGGG